TGCTTTGGCCTTCAGCATCCTCAAGTTCTATAACTTTGGACGATCTAACATTGCATCGCAAAAGCGTTTCGCGACTCGCCGACTGCTTCTTTCTCTCACCGACTTGATTTTCTCCTTCAGGGCTTGGCACACTGGAACTTTATGCGAGGTAATAGCCACTCGGCGATTCGCCCAATGGATTAGGCGATCAACAGGCCTTCTTTTCTTCGTTCTTTCAGTTGTCTTGTTCTTTTTTGTTCGTTTGTGTCCATGCTTTGTTTCTCAATCCAAATACCTGGAAAACAAGGATTTTACATCAGTTATTGGCACAAAATAAGCATTTGAGGACACTAAATCTATCCAAATAAAGCCCTAAATAAGTCCAAATTATGGACTCATCAATAAGAGATACCAACATGGTCATAGGCATAATTAATGCATCTAGTTTAACATGACATAAGAGAAACACTACATAAGTCACCTCAACGCAAGCTTGTGCAATACATGGATATAAGACCCCATAATCTCACTCATGCTAAGCAAGTCACTTTAGGTCCTCATTCATCTTTATCATCTTTTGATCTCATCCTTAGCTTACTTATCATAGAATGAAATAACATAAGCATAAATTAATGACTGTAAAGAAATATACCAAGATCTGTAACAATAGAATGAAACAGAAAGGAAAATATAGAGTCCACTGAATTTACAATGTCCCCTTATAAAAATTATTCCTCTTTAGTACTCGATGTTTAAAGGAATAGATTCTCTTAGGATAGAACAATTTTATTCACCAGTGTATTGATACAAAAACAATGGTGTTAGTGAGCCACTCAACAGGAGCAAAGTACATGAATATTTAATTGTGTAGAAGAAGAAGAAGAAGTTTAGATTTTTCGTTATTTTAAAATGAGAGGAAATCTCTCTATTTATAGACAACAAAGAGTAGTCGAATAAATATTTATTGTCCCTTATCGGAAAGATCACAACTATTTGGAAAAGTTGCAACCCTTCGGAAAGCTCACAACCTTTCGTAAAAGTTATAACTTTTCATAAAAGTCGCAACTGTTTTAGAAGTCACAACTTTTCATGAAAGTCACAATTTTGCATAAAAGTATTAAATTTTCATGAAAGTGAAGAATAGTTTTGAAAATAAATAAACTAAAAGGGAATCCTAGTTTGTGATGGCACCACATAGGCGGGCCTAGAGTTCTCTTTATTTATTTATATATATATGTGCTTATTCCGTGACTTTTGGTAAGAAATTAGTAAACATAAGAGAGTGAAATTATTATTAGTGATATAAGCAGGCAGAAAGGTTTGTTGTTTGTTATTGTAAGCACTAAATGAATAATGTTCCTAAACTGTCTCCGCCTATTTCGTTGTAAATAATGTCTCCATAAGTGTTTCTACACTTACCATATAATATATGCCGTTCTCCTCATCCATGCATCATATTCTCTTTTGATAATTGGATCGGACAGAAAGAAACTTTGAATTTTTCGGAATTGAAATTTATCTGCTATTCAGAAAGTTATAAAGGAGGAGGTATTTTTAATGGATTTCATCGCTTCATATATCTGGGTTGTTTTTTTTTTTTTTGGTTTTTGCTTCTTTCATCATATTTAATTTTTGCTTCTTCCTCAATGTATACTTGTTGTTTGAACACAATTAATGGCTAAAAATTGAAACTGATAGAATATCGGAAATTAATGGGGTTTTTTTGTGTCAATTCAATAGGAAATGCTATCGTCAGTTTTGGGAAATTTTGACTGCTAAACTTACAACTTCTCTTGATTCTGAACATCCTTGTGCTGGCGGGGCCACGATTTTCACTTAGGGTTCAAAATATGAAGAACTAAACACGATAAGTCAAAGGATTCAACATCTACTATATACATAAAAATTGGTTCGAATGAACCTCTGGACCCTTGCTAGTATGTATTGTATCTCAATTGAGACTAAACGATATACTAAATATGGTTCTGTATGTATAGGTGAGAAAAGAATGGAGTTCTGATAAGGACACAAACTTGGATCCTTTAGTCCAAAATGGAGTTTTTAGGGTAAACTGGATAGTGATATAAACTTTGTGGATAGCTTAACTACCATTATTACTATGATCAGAGGCGGATCTAGGATTTAGAGTCACTGGGTGCCAAGCAGAGGCGGACCCACATGATTTGATAGGAGTGCACGTGCATCCGTTAACTTAAAAAAAATCATGGGTATATATGTATATCTATCTTGAGAAACTGACAGAAAGTAGGATATAATCAACAATGCACCCATAAGAAGTGTAGGAGTGCCCTTGTGTAGTTGGTACTGGCCAGAGGAATCACTCGCGAGAATACGATTCAAATCTAGCTAGAGTCTTATTTCATTATTTTTATTTTAAGTTTAACTTAGAAATCATATTTGAGCCATTAGTTACCAATCAAATACTACATTATTTGTTAATTGTAATAAAAGTTTCGTTAACTATCTAAATTAAGATAGTATTGATGCATCGAAATCTTCAAATTTTAGATTCGTCCCTAATGCACAGTTGACTCATCGATTAAATCAATTTTAGATTCAGATAGAATTATTCGTCTTGTGGCTGAATGGGAGAGCAGGATTGGGCGACGGACGGAAGACTGAAGCTTTAATTAATGACAGATTTTTGTTGTTCAAAAGTTTCAAGGAAGAGCCAGAGTTTCAACGATGAAGAGATTATTTTTTTTATGTTTAATCAAATAAAAGAAAAGTCAAAGAGTTAAATTAAATTAGTTAAAAAATAATTATTGATTAATATTTAATAATAAGTTAACAAGTGAAAAAAATTCAAAAAACAAAAGAGAATGTGCCTTGTAGTTTAAAAAAGAAACGCTGCCTGCAGTTTAAAAAAAAATTGAAACAAAAAGAGGCTGCCTACCGTTGAAAAAAATAAAACAAAAAGTTGCTAGCTGGGTCGATCCTTTGACCTAAGACCCGTAGAGTAGATGGCCTACCACTGCGCCAAAGAGTACTTTTGTTCTCTGGGTGGCACGTTTATTATTTATACATATGTTGTATATAAATATATATAAATAGAGTTTCCGTCGAAGCTTGTGGGTGGCGTGGCACCCCGCAGGCCTTAATAGATCCGCCCCTGACTATGATGAAGTACATACAGAGGTTTTGAGAGCATATGAATTATAGCTCAACATAAGATTTATTTAACCCTTTTAACGCACAAACTAATGCAACATATCTCAGATTAACCCAAGGTTCTACCTTATTTTTGGTGAAGAAGAGGAAATAATGAGGAAAGTAAAGACAGAGTACTGCATGGATTACGAAACTTAGGATTTTACTTTAACAGCTCGTAATTGATAGCTTCAAGAAGTGGCTAGTAGTTTCCTTTTACCTTTTCATTCTTGGCTACTCACCTCAATCCTCCTCTTGGGAAAGGGGTTATACTGCACAAATAGGGTAAGATATAGGTTTCCCGTTGACATACGAGAAACTTCTAGTTTAGTGCTGAAAGAGGGGGTTTGAAAATTGCTTTAACATATAGGTTCAAATACCTAGAGTGTTATCCTTTTATATATATTTTTTTTTGAATCCCTTTACTAGAACCTTTGGGTTTGCCACTGTCCTCAAGGATTGTGGTTGAAGGAATGTAGGGAATTGAGTGAGCAGGCTACATTACTGCTAATGAAGTTTATAACTTTTTTATGAGTATCTGTTCTTCCATTCCTTTTGTTGCTCTACTTGGAAGGTCTGATAGACAAGTATCTTTCTGTGTATTTGACAATAATCAAAGAAGAGATTTGCATGGATTTGAAAAGAAAAAAACAACAGTGAGGGAGAGATTTGTATGTCGGGCTACAGCTGTATTCCATGCACACAAATTATGATGTTGTCTTATATAGAGGTGTAACCACATTTTACTGGAGAAATGTGAATTACACAAAGTCCATCAATAGGAAGGGGTTATACGTGCAGTCTTTCTGGATTACATGTCTACGATACTTACTAGATTATTCGCCGTGCACATATTTTGCTTGTCCCATTCTCCATCTCGTTATAAACAGTTTTTTTTGTAAAAACATACTCTTGTGGTTGAAATTTAATGCCAAATGTTTTTTTGTAAAAACATACTCTTTTGTTTTCAAGACATATTAATATTTTATTTGTCTAGTTCTGAAGGGTGTTCACTGTCAATTTCTTCTTGAATTTTATCAGTTATAATAACTATCGACCAGGAGAAGTACCTTATTTTACTTGTACTATATATGTAGTGCTAGTTAAAATTGCAAATTAGCAAAAATGGAGTAATTGATATAGGAACCATAGCAGTTAATAAATAGAAAGTTGGAATTGCTCATTTACATGCTCATCTTTTCATTTGCTCATGGAAGATTGCACCCAATAAAGCTGAAAGTCAGTTATAACTGATTGCAGAATATACTGACAATATTCATGTCAAAAAACTGCAGCATATCTGCATATACAATAATCTAGAAACTTCCTGGTTCAAATTATCATCAGTTGTGCCTGGTTGCGAGAATAATTTGCTGTGTTATTTGTATAGATAATGTAAAGAAACGCAACTTATCCCTTCTTGTCTTCTTATCTATGATCTGACCAACTCGACTGTGTTTCCAATCTTTAAAATGACCAACTTGAAACTTCAAAACATATGTGCCGATATGAAGCATGTTAATTTTATTTCAATATATTTATATTGTATCAGTTGTGCAACTTCAGATTACCTCAAGCTTATAGAAATTTTTAGTCTTAAGTATGTCTTCTTGGTCTTACGGAAAGATTTCTATACACTTTTTTCTTAATTTTTCAACCAATATAAACATGAATGGGTAGCATTGCTGAGTAAAGTTGTAGTAAAACAATATAAAATGAGTTAATTCACTAGGTCAATGATATTTATCATTTGATGTCTGTTCAGAATACACCCACCCTGAGTACTGTTGTTAACGTGACAGGATTCTATAAACAAAGCTTATATAACAGATGGTGGTCTTTTGACCAGAATGAATCCTCAGACCTTCATTAGGCTCTCAATAGGGTCACTGGGGTTGAGAGTGCCTGGAATAACATTAAATGGTGCAAAATCAGGGAGAAGTGCATTATCTTTTCCTTGTGTGTGCGAGATCCGTCTTCGTGGTTTCCCTGTGCAAACAGCAATAATTCCATTGGTATCTTCTCCTGAAACTACTCCAGATTCTAACAATATCGCCTCCAGTTTTTATCTTCAAGAATCTGATTTGAAAGCATTACTGGCACCTGGCTGTTTATTAAAGCATCATGCATGTCTAGAGATAGTTGTTTTCACAGGACACAATGAAAGTCACTGCGGTATTAGTATTAAAAGGCAGCATATTGGGACGTTTAAGCTGGAAGTAGGTCCTGAGTGGGGTAATGGAAGGCCAGTCATTCTGTTCAATGGTTGGATACACATTGGCAAGAACAAGTGGCTGGATGGAATAGCTGGAGCAGAGCTTCATTTGAGAGTGAAGCTAGATCCAGATCCAAGATATATTTTCCAGTTTAAAGATAAGACCAAACTAAGTCCACAAATAATTCAGCTTCAAGGAACCATCAAGCAGCCTATTTTTAGTTGCAAATTTAGCCAAGACCGGTACATTTTTTTCTTTAATATTTATACATTGAGACGAGCATTTCTTTCTTGAGTTTTTAGTTGCAGATGATTAATTGTGGTCCTATCTTTTACTACCTTGAACTTGCAGGGTATCTCCACGAGACCCATTGAGTAATTTTTGGTCTAGCTCTTTTGATGGTTCTGAACTAGACATTGGAAAAAGAGAGAGGAAAGGATGGAATGTGAAGATACATGATCTCTCTGGCTCGGCTGTTGCAGCAGCCTTCATAACAACTCCTTTTGTGCCGTCAACAGGTTGTGATTGGGTTGCCAGATCCAACCCAGGAGCTTGGTTGATTGTTCGTTCTGATGTTTGCAGGCCTGAAAGCTGGCATCCATGGGGAAAGCTTGAAGCATGGCGTGAACGTGGGATCAGAGACTCCATTTGCTGTCGGTTTCATCTACTAACAGAGGGTCACGAATTGGGGGATCTTCTTATGTCTGAGATCTTGATCAGCGCTGAAAAGGGTGGGGAGTTCTACATAGACACGGACAAACAGGTTAGAGCAGCATCGACTCCAATGCATAGTCCAAGAGGGAGTGGAGACTTTGCGGCAGTAAGTCTTGCAGCAGAGGGTTTTGTGATGAGCTGTCGGGTGCAAGGGGAAGGGAAATGCAGCAAGCCCCTTGTGCAGCTTGCGATGCGACATGTGACTTGTGTGGAGGATGTTGGGATTTTCATGGCTCTTGCAGCTGCAGTTGATCTGAGCATTGAAGCATGCAGGCCCTTCCGTAGAAGGCTTAGAAGAAGTGCTAGCCATTCCTGGTGATATGATACTCAACTTGGTTTGCTGTATAGATTGATCTCTTCTGGTTCCGGAGAATGTTCTCATTTCCATTTTAACCCTTGTTGACACGACTCGACTCAACTCGTTGTTTCTGTAATACAATTTACTTGTTAGTTAGTAAACGAATTAGAATAATTCATATGTATTAAAGCTAACATAATGTTTGATGCCTTTTTAGTTTTGTTTTGTATAAGATTCAATAGTTATCATTTTACATGATTAAGACATGTATTATTTTATGGATGAAATAATTGTAACATAAATACCTAAACTGTGCATAAATCGAAATGAATGGTCTTATCCCACAAATTCTAGTGAAAAAGAAAAACAGTGAAGTAATTTTTCTAATCAAAGGATACATGAATAATTATTAAGGTATGCATGATGTATGTGAGAAGAATTAAACACAACTTTCCACATAATTAATTATATACTATATTATTATTATATAGAAAGGTGAAGACGACCAGGACGACCAAGGGTACTTTTGTCAATTTAACAAAATTTCAAGCTTAATTTAATTGTACATTTGCATTGAGAGTATTGAACATTCCAAAAAAATCAGCCAAAAGTTATGTAATTCCCACTTTATCCACCATTAAGGTGTTGATTTCCATTGTCACATGTATACAACACATTGGGAGGAGTAAAAGAAATTAATGCAAAGTTAAAACATGGACCCCATTTTTGACTCACTTCAAAAATCTATGCATTAAAGACCACACATTTTTTTTAAAAAAAAAAAAATTAATTTGAGTTCATATTTATACAAAATTATTGAATTTCCCATTACCCAACCAACTTGCTATTATGATGCCACGTGTACTTTCTATCATGAAAAGCATAAAAAATATCATAAGTAGCCGTACTATCTATTAAAGACCACACATTTTTTTTAAAAAAAAAAAAATTAATTTGAGTTCATATTTATTTTTGAATGTACTTACTACTTTTAATGAGATTTTTTTTCATATTCAAAATTTAAATGCGAGTCCTTTTAATCATTTTCTTTCTTAATCTGGTTCGGTCATGAAAATATAGTTTTTATTTTATTAAAAAAATGTATACTTAAAGTCGTGTTTGGTTAAATTTTATATAAAAATATAAATATATTTTTCTAAAATGCATAATACATAAATATGTCATTTAATTTGGTTTCATTTGACATCAGTGTCCTCCAATTTTGGATGTGCATAGTAGACACAAAAATTTGTATAGAAATGAACAAGTAGACACATGTGTCCTACTTGACGTCCTACGCGGCGATATAATTCATGTCCTATGCGACATTCTATGTGGCGTCTTACGTGAATTATGTCTCGTAGGACACGTTTGTCTACTTGTTCAACTTTATATTTCTATCTATTTTTCTATTATATAGAAGAGTGAAGACGACCAGGACGACCAAGGGATTTATTAAATCAATTTATATTTCATTAACACCTTTACTTTTTGCACTAAAATAAATATAAAAAGAAACAAACATGATTTAAAATGTATTAAAAAATAAAAATATTTACATAAAAATAAAAATTAATAAATAAAATGGATAGATAAATTAAATGAAATTAAAGTAAACTAAGAAACTAACTAAATTTTTAAATAAATAGTTTTAAAATTTTGCGAATAAAATATTAAAGAGAAATAATAAGTATTTTTTGTGTTCAATTTACGTACATTAATGATAAGAATATTTTGATAATAGAATATTTTAAATTTTAAGATTAATCAGATTGTTTACTTTATTTACTTAATATTGCTATTCTTTTGTTTGAAATAAGAAGTTAAGAATCGGAACACATGAAAAATCAAACACATTAATTAGAGAAGTAAAATAAATTTAAGTAGATTAATATTTAGAAAGAGATGACAAAAATAGCAAATGATTAATAGTAATTTTAAAAATTATGAATAAATTTTTGGAATAAGATAAGATATCTGGATGAGGAAATCAATACGATATGTAATGATCTATGTATTAAAATATCATGCTAATTTAGCATTTAATTCTAAATAGATTTTTTTAAAACAAAGAAAATGCATTTATGTTTTCAGATTGTTTGAAATTTTTTCACTAAACTAATAAAAATAACAAAAATACTTGTTCCTATAAGTTATTGTGCATGAAAAAAGAGAACCAAAAACACATTTATATCATGCTAAAAAAATTATGTTCATTAAGACAAATTATGCATATATAGAACTTCATGTAATAGTGAGACATGCTTCTTAGTTCTAATTTTTATGTATGAGTGATAAATAAAAAATATTAATATCTGACTTGGCATTAAGTTTAAGAAATTAAGGAAGATTTTTGAATCTTGTGATTTTAAATTTGAAATATGTGAAATATAGTAAATGTCTTTTAATCCTGTGATCTTAAATATGTTATGTGTAGTTGGAACTAAGAAAAGAAAAGGGACATTACTTTTTAATAGATTATAAAGAAAAATTCGACAAATTAATTGAAATGAATAGGATAGATTTCAAGATGATAATACATAATGATTCATAATTTTTATATAAGATATAATCCAATCTAACAGACAAATTAACTCTGAATCCTACTAAATTTGTGTCTTATAGTAACAAATAAATAAATTGAATATTATACTTAAGAGTTTTACAACTTAAAATGAATCTACCCATCACTAATATCAATTATACTTTAAAATATTATTGGGCTAATTTAATTTAATATTTTTTATTCAATATTCGATATTTATATTGGAGTTGCCCATTCAGATATAGAGCTCTCTATTAAGAATTTTTTTCATATCCAAAACTCAAAATTATGATATTTAATTAAGGAAGGAGAAACACCATTCAATGCACTATATTCTTTGATGATTATTTTTTTATACTAATTTTTTTTACCAAAATAGGTAAAATATTCCCCTTCCATTCCACATCACTTTTGATGCTTGTTTAAGCTTATATATTTTTTCAAAAAGAAAAGGAAGCAAATAAGAAAATATGAATTATGATGTTCAACAAATGAATCAATTAGTGTAATCATCAATTGTACAAATTTCGACGTTCAAAAATAGAGAGAGATTCTCTAATATGCCAAAAAAAAAAACGAATTAATCGGAATCTACAAGTAAAAGAAGAGATCATTAGCAATATTTAAATGATCTTCATGATTATGACCTATCCTAATATCTTCTTCTGAGATGAACGGCACAGATTCATCCTTTACATCTGACGGTACATATTCAGCCACGCTTTCCTCAATCACATCCTCCTTCCTGGGGCTGGGACTACTCGCCTGACAAAGTAGATCGCCGCCTTCCAATCCAAACACGCACCATGAATCCTTCATTGTCGCCGGCGATGGAGACTCAACACTGGTGCTAAAATCCTTAATTCTCTCATCCATTGTTGCCCCCAATGGAGATTGAGATCTACCGACAGAAGCATCAATTCTCTCCTCAGGATAATACATGTCCATAGAGGCCGGAACACCGGCGTTATGTATCTCATCGGGATAACCGAACCCCATTGTCTCCGACGAAGGAGACTCAACACTGGGGATATTTATCTCATCAGGATAATCGAACCCCATTGTCTCCGGCGAAGGAGACTCAACACTGGGGTTAATTATCTCATCCGGATAGCGGATCTCCATTGTCGCTGGAGACGGAGACTTGACACTGCCGTTAATTCTTTCATCCGGAAAACGGATATCCATTGTCGCCGGAGATGGAGAAGGCACAAAGCTGCCGGAATCAAGCAAATAACCGGTGTCATCTAACGACATTGACACAGATAACACAACAATCCACCGATTTCTATAAACTTCGGTACTGTTAACAATAACGCCGTTAACAGTTAGAACGCCGTCATTGAAATTTACGACCAGCGTCTTGTTCGGAGCAAGAGTCTGGAAAACCATAAGGGTAGTTGAAGCAAGATCCCCAAAACGGTAGCGTTGGGGAACAACATGGTGACGGTAATCGTAATGGAAACCTTGAGGTTGTGAGAACAAAACCACATCAGAAGGGGCAAAAAGGGAAACGGAAGCCAACGTTAACAGCTCCGGCCGCTTGATGGTTAACGCAGTAGCGGCAACAGTGAATCGTCTTCTCCTTAATGCTCTGATTGCGTGATCAAGAAGAGATCGACGGTGGCGTTCAGACTGAATGATAACAGATGTTTGAACAGAGCATTTCCTTGCTGAGGTGGGGTCCAATACACCATCGATTCCATGAACGGTGAGATGATTGTCGACGTAAATGTCAGGTTGCCTGATTTTAACAAACCCAATTGAATTCTGTGTGGAAGAAATGGATAGCTGTCCGGTAGAGCTCTTGAAGAAGAAGAGACAGTTGTTATTGTACAGAGTCTGAACGCCATTGACGTCATTGGAGAAAAGTTTGACCCAAGTGAGAGGGGTTTTGAGAGTGTGGTAACGAAGGAGAAGAGAGGAAGGGCGTGGTGGAGATGGGCGAATGTTGGCAGAGAAAATGAAGTCCGGTGGGGCGAAAATAGTGCCGGAGAAATTATTGTTTGTGGAGTCGATGGTGGAAGCAAAGAGGGAGTAGCCACGGTTGCGGAGTGCGACTGCAGCAGCATGGGCAGAGGAAGCTGGTGGTGGAGATGGCGTTTGAGTAGAAGAAGGGCAAGAAAGTAGAAAGCAGAAGAATGTAAAAGCGATGGTATTGAAGAAAGCCATTGTTAGAGAGTTGAATGGAGATTGATAGAAAGGATTAATTAGCATCGCGTCTTCTTTTTATATAAGCGGTTGGGACTGTTATGCAGTTTCTTTTGGCGGGAGCGATAGTATTGTTTTTGTATTCTAAAATGGAATTTTTACAACTATCATTATCTATTTTTTCACCTTTCAGCCAAGAGAACTGTTACAAATGAGCTGCTCATACTGATTTTGAGCTACGACTCGTCTACGCTATGGATGTGTTCGGTGAAGAAAAATGTTTTTTAATATATACTACGCGTTGCGACTTGTGTGGACTTTATTCTGTATAAATGACTTATTAAAATATTTTTCCGCTATAATACTGGTGAAAAAAAAATCC